GATCTCCCCATTTCCTTTTTTTGAGACAGGGTCTCACTATGTCGTTGAGACTGACCTGGAACTCACTATGCGGCCCAGGCTGGTCTCGAACTCACAGCGATCCTCCTGCCTCAGCCTCCCCGAGTGCTGGGATGACAGGCTTGTGCCACCACACCCGGCTAAATCTGTTTTTAACCCCTCCATTTGTGGTATTAAAGCAGCCCAAATAAACTCATGCAAATGGGCAGTCTGGGAGCATCAGAAGAGAACATTTTGTTTTGGTTTGGTTTAATTTGATTTTGGATCAGGGTGTCACTACCCATACGGTCCAGGCTGGTCTCAAGTTTGTGATCCTCCTGCCTCAGCCACCCGAGTGCTGGGGAGACAAGCACAGGCCCACTGCACCTGGCTCATAAGGGAACAGCTGTGTTCATAACAGTTTCCAGGTGGCCTTTCTGAACACTGCAGGTGAACTCTACTCTTGGCCCGCACTGTGCACAGGGCTGGGTCCCCGAAATCCCTATCAGTGATTGACAAGTGTCATGGAGGCGCCCTGTGGAAGTGTCTGCAGGAAAGGAGAAGAGAACAGACCAGCAGCGGGGGGTGTGATGAACCGGCACACCTCGTTCCTCGGGTTCCTGGCAAGTGGACCCCCCCCGCCCCCATTAAAGTTTCCAAAGCCTTTCTCTAGACCAGGCACGGCAAAACATTTTGGGATTTCACAAAGAAATTTGGCCCCTAGTGGGAGCACTGCACCCCTTCTTCCTTGGATCAAGGAGACCACGCTCTTTGGCTTGCAGAAAAGCCAAGAAGCACAGCCCCCAACAGTGGAGACCAACTGTGCAGGACACTGCATACCCTACCGTGACCCGGCAGGCGGCGCCTGAGGCCCAGCACTACCCAGAACCCACTGCAACCTCAGCGGGGTGTGTGCCCTCTGCAGCTCCTGGCAGAGCTGCCTGCTGTCCACAGGAGCCCTCTGCTGGACCTGGTCAACACACAGCCCAGCAAAGCCACGTAACAACTCACCACAAGAAGCATCTCGGCTTAAGCTGTCAGCGGTAGAAACTTTCGATCTGTGATTTGTACTTCTGGGTTATGAAATATCTTCTCAGTTTCGCTGTTGGACCTACCAAGCAGGAGAAATCAGTAGAGCTGTGGAGGGGCAGGAAAATTCCACACTCTTTGTGCATGACCAGGTCACTTCTTTGCATGGAGGGGCCAGGATCAAACCCAGATTATTCAATGATGCATGTTTAGCCCCTGCTCTGGCTCCCTTCCATTCACACTCAAATTACAGCCAGAAGTTGGGTGTGGTGGCGCACACCTGCCATCCCAGCACTTGGGAGGCTGAGGCAGGCGAATTGCTGTGGGCTCAAGGTCAGCCTGGGCTACCCAGTGACACCCTGCCTCAAACAAAACAATCCACAGATTATAATCACGTGCTCAGACAAAGTCCCAAAGAAAGAACTTGAGTAGAGTCCAGGTCCCCCAATTCTAGATTGAGCCCTTCTCTCACGGTGGGAGACAGACAGAAAGAAATACACACAGGATAATTTCAGATTCTGACCCATGAAGGAGGCAAGGATATTGGGGGCTGATACCATGGCTCCAAGGTGACCCACTGAGGGCCATGGTGAGCCAGTACAGCCAGGGTGGTCAGGGAAGGCTGTCAAGAAAGTGGCCTGAAGAGTCAGGTTAGGACAAGGGGAGAAAGCCACCCACACACAGAGTGAAGGGAAAAGAGCATTCTAAGGCAGCAGAAATGGCAGGTGCAAAGGCCCTGTGGTTGGCTGGTGCAGAGAGCTGTTGGAACAGCAAGCAAGTCCTTTTGGATGGGATGGAATAAGTGAAAGGAAATGGCAGCATCCCAGTCCCTGGCTGGCCCCACAGAACCTCTGAGTCGCAGAAAAGGGTACTTTTCCCAAGAGCCCACATGATTCTACACACTGGCAAGGGTTCATCAGAGTTCTGAGGGTCAAAGCCAAGGTCGCCGGCTCTCCAGCTACTCACCTAGTTCCCCTCCACTGACAGAAAAGTCCTTCTCCAGGATGGCCCACTTCCGGATCCTCTGGGCATTGGAGGTGGCCTCCTGGTTCACAGCGTCTATGCCTTGCTGGATGGCCGCGTAGACGAGCGGGTCTTGTGAGCTCAGGATCTCCGACACGGTGGACGCTTGGCTGCCCAGGGCCCGGCAGAAGTCGATGGCAGGCAAGGTCAGCTTGTCCAGGGGCTCTCCGCTCCCCTGGTTGGTCTGGCACTGCCCGGGACACCCCCCTGTCATCACACGCGCTCTCCGGCCAGTCCCAGACCTCAAGCCAGGCCCCGAAGGCCCAGAAATCAGTCGTGAACCCTGGGGGTGCGGAGAGGTCACCTTCAGCGTCAGGAGCATGCTCAGGAATCTGGCCTGGTCGGCCACCAGCACCGCGTTACTGACGATGGGGATCGTCTTCTTCACCAGGGCCTCGGTGGGGACGGGGGCCACGTTTTCCCCGCCGGTGGTGATGAGGAGCTCTGTGACCAAGCGGGCTCTGACCGTGACGACCCGGACAGCGGAGACCCCGGAAGTTTTACTTTCCCATCGCCACCCACCATTCCCTCAGTGCCGCCAGGTGTCCGCACCTTTGGTACTAGGCATGGAACCCAGGGTTGTTACCCTGAGCTCCATCCCCAGCCCTTTCTACTCTTTATTTTTATCCGGGGACGCAGTCTCTGTCACAAGTTGTCCAGGCTAGGCTCAGAACCCGCGATCCTCCTGCCTCAGCCTCCAGAGTGCTACAATGACAGGTGTGCCTGCTCCTGGCTCCCACCACGCCCGGCTCCCCCTGCCCCAGCACCTTTGATGCGGCCGGTGATGTACAGGAAACCCTGGCTGTCCACACGGCCCAGGTCCCCGCTGTGCAGCCAGCCTTCCTGGTCCACCGCCTCCCGGGTGGCGTCCTCCCTGTCCAGATAGCCCATGAAGACGTGCCGGCCCCACACGCACACCTCCCCGACGCTGGCCGCAGCTGTAGGGGACAGGCGTGGGGGACCGAGGCTCAGAGACAAGGCCTCCCACCCAGGTCTGCCTGGGTCTGCAGCCCGGACTCCTGGTGCACTGTCCGGCTACACCTGCTCCAGCACCCAGAGGACAGGAGGTACTGGCCCAGTGTCTCCTGCAAACCCAGATACCCAGCCCCCCTTTAGGAACTGGGAAACCCAGCGGCGCCATAGCCTGTTTTTAATCTCACATATATGGGAGGAAGGAAAAATGCTTACAAACAGCAACAAAAAAATCTGTCACCACTGAGAAAACACCTTTGTAGACTGCACTACCTAAAACACACACCATTCAATGCCAAGGCAGCTGCTCTCAAGGGAAACAGTCAACAAGAATCTCTTTAGAGGTCCAAGGCACTTCTATAAGATGGAAAATCAAACACGAGTCACGGTGGCACACGCCTGTGATTCCAGCACTTGGGAGGCTGAGGCAGGAGGATCACTGTGAGTTCGAGACCAGCCTGGGCTACACAGTGAGTTCAAAGCCAGCAAGAACTACATGGTGAGACTTTGCCTCAAAAAACAAAAACAAAAAGATAGAAAGGCAAGATCTGAAACCCGAGTTCTCACACTCCCTTCTTCAGTGATAATATTTGCTGGGTTAGTGGAGAGGCGTGAGACGGTCCGACTCTGGATAAACACCCGAGGCAGAGTTTGCTGATGGTTTGGATGTGGGATCAGAGAGAAAGGAGGAGTCCAGGTGCCTCCAGGGTTTCTGGCAACTAAAGAGGATGGTCAGGAAAACCACAGGAGGAGCAGCCTGGGAGAGCAGTTCTAAAGGTACGAAGTCAACACACCTGTGAGAGGCTCTCAGTCACCCAGGCTGGGAGGCTGAGAAACCGGGCAAAGAGGAAGTCTGGGGTTCAGGGGCAGGGCTGGAGCCATCAGTGTACAGAGAGCATGGAGCCATCAGTGTACAGACCACCACTAGATACTTGGAGGGGCCTGTGACAGATTCTTCCACTTCTTCTTGGGGTCTAAGAAGAAGTGGGTGCTGCCCCCTGTCTGAGGCAGGAGAAGGTTCTGCCACATGAAGAAGATCTAACTTATTTTTTTACTCCTTGTGTTGGGACCTGGACAGCAGAGAGAGAGAAACCAGATCCTCAGTATAGGGACCGGGAGTGACCAGGGAGAGACAGGGCAGAAGATTCTGTGCGTGAACAGGGCTCTGCCTCGGAAATGAACTTGCCCTTGGGATGTCTATGGGTCTGGGGGACCCTGGGGCCTGGGGGAGCTGAGCCGGGCCTGGGAAGAGGCGAGGTGCAGGCACAGGGGGAGGAGGCCGGTACCTGAGAGCCCTGTAGTGACTGCAGCGGGAGACGCTGTTCGGTCCCGAGCTCTCACTCAAGCCGTAGGTCTCGCCCATGGGGATGTCCAAGCTCAGAAAGAACTCGGAGGTCTCCTGGCCGAGGGGCGCGGCCCCGCTCAAGAAGGACTGGCAGTGGTCGAGGCCCAGGGAGCTCTTGATCCTGCTGAACACCAGCTGCTTAGCCAGGCGGTAGTTCATGGAGACGTCGGCTCTCCTGGGAAGGACGCCACCAAAGGCAGCTGCAGGCCGCCGAGCGGAAGGCGGGACCTCCTCGCCCGCCAGCCTCCCAGCTCCCCGGAGCCTCCGCCTACCCCAGCGTCCGTCTGGCGTGGACCTTCGAGCCGACCATTTCGGCCCAGAGGAACATCTTCCTCTTGAAGCTGGAGAACCTGGTAACACTGCCTTTTATGGTCTCCTGCAACTTCTCCCAAATTCGGGGCACCCCGAAGAAGACGGTCGGCTTTACCTCCTTCAGAGTGCTTACCAAGGTGCCCTGCAGGGACCCAGCCAGGTTGGTCACGGCGGTGACATTCGTGGACCCCAAAAGCCCAGCTCTCCCCATCCACCCTCCTAAGAGAGAACCTTCCCTTCACGGATTGGCCCAACCCAAGGTGGCCGGCAGCCAATCAGATTTTTGTATTACCTCTAGGAATCTGATGCGGTAGAGTAACTGATATTTTGGGAAGGAGATGTGAAAATACTATCAACTTTTTAATTAAAAAAAAATGGTGGTAATAGATCGAACCCAGGGCCTTCACACCGAGCTACCTCCCCATCATTTTAAAAAATGTTTTTGTTTTGATACAGGCCCTCCCTAATTTGCTAAGTAGCCTGGGCTGGGCTCAAATTTGCAATCCTCCTGCCTCAGCCTCCCAGAATGCTAGGATTACAGGTGTGTGCCCCCACACTCCGGTACTATTAATGTTTTAAGGGCAAGCCAGAAACTTCAGTTCTGTGGATGAGGAATTTAGCTGAATGAAAGACATGGATATACAGGGAAAAAATGCAAGCAAGATATTTCATAATAGAATGGGAACAATTTATATGTTAGACAATTGGAGCGTGGCTAAAATATTTATCTAAGCACATGTGGAACATTATGCAGCTGTGAAAAGGGGGCAAAATTCTCCTCTAAATTGACTTATAAATTCAGAGCAATCCTGGATATGAAACCCAGGCAGACTCAGTCATACAAAGTGACAAGCTGATCTGAATGTTTTTTTCTGTGCCTCCTATGAATGGGTGATGGAAACCAGGGCCTTGTACATGCTAGGCAAGCACCCTACCACTAAGCTAAGCCCTGGCCCTTTCTATTTCTTATTTTGAGAAAGCATCTCACTAAATTGCCCAGGCCAGCCTTAAACTTGAGATCCCCCTGCCTCAGCCTCCTGAGTAGCTGAGATGAAAGTTGGGTGCTACCACACTGGTTTGATCTTAAGCTTTATAAAGAGATGCAGAAGGCCTAGAATAAAGAGCCAAAGCAATGTCAACAAAGAATGAAAACAACTGGAGGAGCTACTACCTGTCTCTAAAACTTATTATGAAGTGGGGTGGTAAATGGGTGTGGTTTTACTAGAACTGAAAAATAAGGTTTTTCTTTTAAAGGCAATCAATTCCAGGGACGTGGGGACACGTTGAGCTTAAATCAGCATAATCATCCAGGTGTGGTGGCACACACCTATAATGTCAGCATGTGGGAAGCTGAGGCAGGAGGATTTCCCCGAATTCAAGGCCAGCCTGAGGTACAGAGTGAAACTCTGGCTCAAAGCACCACACCAAAAAAAAAAAAAAAAAAAAATGTGATGATAAATCAGGAAAAGTTGAGCCAGGTACAGTGGCAAATGCCAGTAATCCCAGCTACTCAGGAGGCTGAGGCAGGAGGTTTGCTGGGAGTTCCAGACCAGCCTGGGCTACATAGTGAGACCTTGTCTCAAAAAAAACCAAGAAAAGGACCGGGGATTTAGCTCAGTGGTGCCATTGCTTGCCTCGCAAGCACAAGGTCCTGAGTTTGATTCCTGGTAGAAAAAAAACACAAAAATTAAAAAGCCTGAAAACCCAGCAGGGTGTGGTGGCGCAGGCTTGTAATCCCAGCACTTGGGAGGCTGAGGCAGGAGGATTACTGAAGTTCAAGGCCAGTCTGAACCACATAAGTGAGACCCTGTGTCAAACAAAGCAAAACAATTAACAACCTCCAATCCCAAAACAGCATCTGTGGAATGGTCGCCTGTGGGCCCCCCCCGGGGGGCTCCCTCCGTCTCACCTTGAGCGCATCAGGCTGTGCGGTGTGTGAGCGCCCCGATCTTCATGGGGACCCAGATGTCCATCATCTGTGCGGCGATGTGGCTGAGTGGCAGGTAGCTGAGGATCTGCTCCTGGTTCTTCCGGGAGATGGGGAGCCCCAGGGCCTGCACCACGGCCCCGGCTGTCCATGTGATCTAGGACAGGGACAGCCTGGTGACTGTCCACGCGGGCTGTGTTCATGTCGTGAGCACCTACCACACCTACGTGCACAGGCATTGCTCTCCAACACCAAACCTCTGGCTTCTCTGTTGTTTATTTTCACAGTACTAGGATGGAGCTGAGGACCTTCCCACGGAGCTCCATCCCCACCCCTTTTTTATTTTTGGAGACATGGTCTTGCTAAGTCACTAAATTTCCCGGGCTGTGCTCAGCCTTGAGATCCTCCCGCCTCAGCCTCCCAGAGTGCTGGAATGACAGGTGTGCACCACCTTTCCCAGCTCAGAGACTTATTTTTTAATGGCACACTTGGCTTGCCTGATTCTTTTACAGTGTGACCAAATCACCCTTACACTCCACCACCCGCTTTGAAGCCAACCCTGGACTCCCTAACTTCTATGGCTAAGGACCCACACTCACTGTATGCTACACCCCTTAACACCACCCCGCTTCTGGGGACTGTACTAGTCAGCCCTCCAATGCTGGAACAAAGTACAACTTTAAGGAGGAGAGGTTTATTTTGGCTCATGGTCAGCTGGCTTTAACACATAAACATCACAGTAGAAGGGCCTGGTGGACCATTAAGAGAAATGCAAATTGCCAGTTCGTGGTGGTGCACGCCTGTCATCCCAGCACTCAGGAGGCTGAGGCAGGAGGATCGCTGTGAGTTCGAGACGGGCCTGGGCTACATAGTGAGTTCCAGGTCAGTCTCAAATACACAGTGAGACCCTGTCTCAAAAAGCCAAAAAAAAAAAAAAAAATTCACATGGATTCTCTCATATGAGAAACCTGACGTATAAATAAAGAGCAAAACAAAAGACAGATCATAGGAAGTAGGGAGATAGATCTTTCTCGAGCAGGAAGGGGATCGGGAGATAGAGGGAAGGGATGGGATTTTAAAAAGGAATTAAGATGTGTTACATACATGAACCAAGGCCACGCAGGAATTTAGACGTATAAATAAATAAATAGTAATATGAATAAAAGAGGGCCCGGGATTTAGCTCAGCGGTTCTGCCACCTGCCTCAAAAGTGCAAGGTCCCAAGTGTAACCCCCAGTACCAATTGATCAGTTACTCAATCAGAAGGGCTTAGCAGAGCAAAGTTGCTCACCTCATGGGGGCCAGGATGCAAAGCTTGGGGGAAGGGGCCAAGCAAGAGCCAGACAGAGTCCCCAAGGTCACAGCCTGGGTGACCTACCCAGGCACACCTGGAAGGGTGCTTGCTTTGCACGCCTCCTAGGCATCTCCCAGGCCAGATCCACCACCCCGGGGAGAGGAGAGGGACGAGAGGACTTTGCTTACATTGTCATGGCTGAGCATCACAGCCTTGGGGTCGCCCACAGTCCCCGAAGTGTAGTTGACCATGGCACACTGATTCACCTTCTGGCTCTGGATGATCTGATCCAGCTGGGTGTCAGGAACGCTGTCGCCAAGTTCCATGAAATCGTCCCACTGTGCACAAAAAAGCCAGGCACTATCGTGTACCGCCTTCCCCAGCTCAGCCTCACCCTCTACTTCTTAGATGCTGACTGGATGGGGCCAACAGAGACCCAGATCCAGAGGTCCAGTCCGATTGGATGAAGCCAGACTATTACATCAACATGGGTCACAGGGATTGGACAGAACCTGAGCATGTGCCTTGAAGTGATCCAATCACAGAGAAGATGAAGACTATAGCTGGGAATTCTAGGACACGGAATGGAGGTGAAGGAGCCGAGATGTAGCTGCGAACAATGCCGAATCATCTCAGGCTTGTGAGGGAAAGCAAGGGTAGAGTGGATCCATGGAACCAAGAGAGCAAAATTGAGCCCGAAGAACATTTCTTAAGCACCTGGTTCCAAGCATGCCTGAAGTCCACATGCTGAGCTGGAATGGCCTGGATCAAACGGATTATCCTCTTTTGTGTAAGATATTTGGAATCAAGCTTCTGTCAACTAGCAACCAGTGGGATCCCTGATGATAACAGGTGTGATAATAGGGACGTCGTCTCCCCGCTGAGTCCAAGGTCACACAGCAAAGAAATGGAGGCGGTGCGTGCAAACCAAGATGGCGTGAGTGCAGTCTGTGCTGCCCTGGATTCTGATGTCCAGGCCCCTCCCCTAAGGCTGCTTTCTAACAGCAGGTAGAAGGCCCGCCCTCCCAGGGCACTGGTCAGCAAGTGGATTTGGGTAGTTTCCAGCCCCGAGTATGTCTTCTCCTCTCTCTTGGGAACCTGAGACCGGTCCCTTTGGTCGGGCACTGAGGTGCCAAGCATTGTGATCTGTCCCGTTCAACGATTTATTCTGCCAGTTTTACCCCCTGACTTCACGTCTGAGTTCCTACTTAGCTCTCAGTCCTAATGAATGCGTTCCCAAGCGGAATTTTATAACTTTCGGGTCTACCCACCCTCGTGGAGAAGTAGATGCTGTTCGATGTCACAAAACTGTCCCCAGTAAGTCAGCATCCACAACCAGGAGTGATCCTGCCTCCCTGGGGACCTGGAGCAAGGTCTGGAGACAGTTTTGGAGGGGTCAGTAGAGAGGTGATACTGCCACCTAGTGGGTGGAGGCCAGAGATGCCGCTCGGCACCCTGCAATGCCTAGAATGGCCGCTTTTAACCAAGAATGGTTGTTCGAGCAGGAGGGAAGTCAAGAAACCCGTTTGTCATGTGTTTTTTGTTTGTTTGCTATTTGCAGTGAGGAGATGGAACCCAGTGAGGCTGTACACTTCAGCTCCATCCCTAGTCCTTTTTATTTTATTTTATTATTTTGAGATCTGAGTCGCTAAATTGCCCAGGCTGGGCTTGAAGTTGAGATCTTCCTGCCTCAGCCTAAATAGCTGGGATGCCAGGTACGGCTCTGTCAGGGCTCTTTCTAACCAAGAAAGCTTTCAAATTGTCCGTGACTTAAAAGGCTGTTGATATAGTGGTTACTGCGAACCTCTAAAAGACCTGTAATTCTGATCAGTTGCCCAATAGTCCTGGTCCTAGTGTTAATATATAAAAGAACATCGCCGAAGCTTGGCACAGTGGTGCACGCTGGTAATCCCAGCACTCGGGAGGCTGAGGCAGGAGGACTGCAGTGAGTTCAAGGCCAGCCTGCTGGGTTACAGAGCAAGATCTTGTCTCAAAAACAAACGAGCATGGCGCTGCCATCTGTCTCACAAGCACAAGTTCCCGAGTTCGATCCCCAGTACCAAAAAAAAAAAAAAAAAAAAAAAAAAAAAAAAAAAAAAAAAA